GCTGATTTATTGTGAGAGGCGTTGAAAAATAATGTTGAAGTAGTTCAAGCGAACTAGGTAGTTACACGTTACAATACCAGTCTACTATAGACCTGTTTTGTCTTTCTTTCGACGGTATTTATTAGTGCCACCCACGAAAATTATTATTAGACCACAAAAGGTCTAAGAAAAGAAAGGAAACTAGTATCACTTTGGGCCTTGCAGGCTGGGCAAGTAAATCATATGGGCCATTTGGGCCTTGAACTTACGGGAAAGCAATAATTTGAGGAAGTCCAACCAAAGTTTCCGTACTCGCTCTAGCCGATACGGCGTTTAGACGACCCAATTCCGGCCGCCGCGTTGCTCCGACGGCCGCTGCGGCGGGCGGAAGCACCCTCGGGCGCGGGGCGCCAGCCGCCTATCTCTCCCCTTCCCGCGGCTGGCCTGGAAAGAATCCCCGGGAAAGAGTTGAGGAGAGTGTTCGGTGGAGAAAGCGGAGGAAGAGATGGTCTGGGCGCTGGCCCCCGTCGACACAGCGCGCGGTGCGCCGCCTCTCCTGTCCCCGTCCAGATACTTATCGCCTTCCTATTTTGCGGGGCTTTTGTGTGGGTTTCGGTCGATGGTTTGGTGAATGCTTGTTCTTGTGTTTCGCAGGGACGCAGAAGCGTTACATCTTCGCCGCCGGGACGTACAAGGTCGGCCGCAAAGGTGCCTCCTTAGACCTCCCCTTGCGTTTCTTTTGCGGTTTATTGCTGTTAATTGGTGTGACGGTGAGCCACTTCTTTTTAGCGCTTGTTGTGTCGCTTCTCGCTAAAGGGAGATCATGATGCGTGATTACTCGGATTAAAAATAGCAATGTGAACTAGGAAAAGGTTTATGAATTTATGGGTTTGCTACTTATTATTGAATCGGCAATGGAGAAGAACAAAGCTCCTTTTTTTTGTGGTTTTATTAAAGTTTATCTTGTCTTGTCTTGTCTTAAATTCACTTGACCTAGTACACGAAACTATATACTGATATTGGTGATTTCCACTACAGATTGTGATGTCATTGTTCAAACTGACACATCTATATCCCGAGTCCACGCGGAGATTGCAATTGAAAAGATGGTTGCCTGGGATCCGCATTCTGGTGCACCTGCCAGTCCATCATTTGTTCATGTAATCGACCGATCAAAGTATGGCACATTTGTCAACAAAGTACATGGAACCCAGGGCAGTCGTCTGCATAAAGATGAAGATATGATGCTTACTGATGGGGATGCTGTGACTTTTGGAACTGGTAGTGCAACCTTCAGGTGAGCTCAAGTCAAAATGTCCCATACATTTGCTAACCCCTTCACTTAGTACACACCTTTTGAGTTTTAAATTTAAAAACACCATATCGATACATGACTCTATCTTAGCCCTTTTTTTACTCATATGCATCATTGTGCTCCTTTGCTGTGAAAGTTGAACCAATTGTACTTATTTCAGTTTTTATCTTTCTTATTGCAGGTTGTCATTTGTTCCAATAGTGGCCTATTTTCATGGCGGAAAGTCGGCACGAATTGATCCATCATTACATGCAGTCATGAAATCTATTGGTTAGTGGTAATCAGCACTTCCATTCTGTAGTAGCAGCACTGTTAGTTCATTTGAAAGCATATTAGTTCATTTTTCATTTCGTGAATGTGGCTACAGCTGTTGATAAATGATAACCTGTTTTTCTCTTTTGCACACTAATGATGCCCACCATTTTTGTTTGATGTTTTGGAAGGTGCATATGCTACTCGTAAGTGGAGCAATGAATGTACGCATGTTCTTGTTGATGAATCATGTTCGTTGACACCTGAGCTCCTCGATGCAGTTATGGCAAAGAAGCAGATCGTGTTGGGAGACTGGTTTAAGGTACTTCCTTTCCCCTATGGCCATACTTCTTATATGCTCCACAGCTCCATTGTTTTAGATCAGTGAATTGTTATCTTCCATGTAGACAGGCTTGTGTGAATTAGCTTGCTGCACAATACTAGGTAAAAAATCATTGTCATATAGAATATAGATGACCCAGGGTGTCACTGGTTTTGACTCTTGAAAGTGAATTAGCATTCAACTCCTAGTTAAGTTGTGGCACTATATAAACCATTCTTATACCGCATGTCTCCAGCTGAGTTCTGTATTTTTTTTAATCTGTTTCAGGCAATGGCTGAAAAGAACATACACACAGAGATCCCTTCTTGCACACAGTAAGTTGTGGACACCCCTTCGATGCTTGATAATATAGTTCATGTGGATCCTTGTTCATGTTGTGCTTGCTTTATGATCATAGACAGTGAGGTGTTTTTGTTGGAACTTTATCCAGATACATTCCAAACTTGACTCTTGATGGGATGGTGATCAAGATGGTGGATATCAACGCCATTCAGAATTGCCTAGCAGGCTATACTTTTATCCTGGGGTCATCAGATAAAGTGGTGTACTGTTCTTTTTCTGTAGAAAGAAAGAAGATCATTAGACACTTTATTGTTGACTAATTCTATTCATGTGCAGTATCAATTTGGTGAGAAGCTCCCTGGATTACTGGAATCAACTGGAGCAAAATACCTCCACATTGATGACTTTTGTGCAAACAGCCAGGTAAGTGCTGGTGATAAAACTATTTTATGGCTGCTGTCTTCAGAAAATATGGGATGTGTAATCTGTTTTCTCCAATCGGGCATGTAGCACAAATTTCAAGTTTTCCCTACTGGTCTATGCCAGTAAAATTTTGCACAAGTTTTTCTAGTTGATTGCTGCATTGCTTTTGATACTGATTTTCTACCTTATTGTTGATAGGACTCAGCAGCTGGAGATACTGATCAACAAATTCTTGTAGTTCCTGCAAGATATCCTTTGGAATTCAGCAAGATACGTGGGTTATTTACTTTGTCAAAGATCAGTGATGTTAAGCTATTTGCTGCTACATTATCTGGCCGCTTGGAAGCAACTTCTATTGAACCACCTGCTTGTAAGTATTAAAAGAACAAATTCGTTCACTGGCTCACTGCTATTCCCTTTTTTCTTTTATCTTCGCATTAGCAATAACACCTTTGATGCCTTTCCCTGGATAAAATCAAGCTATAAATTCATATGTTCTTTTTATTCTATTTCTGTCAGTCATCGTTACATCCTCGAATTCCACGGATGACACTATTGTGGCGGATTCGGATGTTGAAATGGAGACAGCAACTTCTAATCCTACTGGTGCTTCTAACAAGTCTCAACAGCACATTGAGAATATCTCTGATGACGAAAAGGAAATCACAAATATAACCAATGAAGTTGCTGTAAGTATCAGTGCAACAAAGGGTAATGTTATTCACCCAAAATACCCAGAAAAAGTTGAAGATTTGAAACCTATTGAGGATGTGAAGGTCATAGAGAAAACAGCAATGTATAGGTCCACAGCTAGAGATGAGGATGCTCGCATTTTCAACAAGGCACCAAAGGATGAGAATTTGGACACCAGCAGGGATGGGGCTTCTGATGTCATATTTAGTCAGAATCTGGTTGTCAGAAGCCTCCCTCAGTCAGCTCCTGCTGCACCAACAGAAGTTGGAGGTGTTAACTTCAAACGTTTCAGGAAGGTATGATATATATAGCAATTGTGTGTATAAATCCTTTTTGGCACTAGTAACTGAATGCAAGCTTGTTTACTTATGGGCCTCTGACCTTTTGCTTTAGAGGGAAACAGTGTCTGGAAACAGCTTCAAGGACCTTGTTCCATTTGCGCGGGAACCATACAGGCAAGAGCTCAAAAGGTTTCCAGTGAATTTTGAAAGGCTATTGATAATAATTAGACACGAAACTTCAATGAGTTTGTTTTCTTTCTGCAGAGAATCAGACTACGAACGTGGCACATTGACCGATTTCATGCGGGAGGAGAAGCAGCGGAAACAAATGGAAGCCATTGCAGATGACCTCTTCAACAATGCAAAGGTGCTTTCCTATGCCAAATTCATACTCCCTGAACTTGTCATGTCATGTGCATGCTTTAACCTTGTGCTAACAATGGAATTTCAGTCGAAGAAAAGAGCAGCTGCTGGAAGTTCGATTCACACCCTACTTACCGGCTACAGATGAGAGCCAACAGGAGATGACCTTTGTATGCGCCGGACTCTTCCTCGAAGGGCTTGAGAACTGCATCATTTGTTAACCAGACAAAAGAGAGCAGCAGTTATCTTCATGTCACCTTCCATTGTCTCCACTCACTGAAGGTTTTCTGGAGGCAAGAGAAGCCTGCGTCGCAAGGTTCCTTTTTCCTTTTTCAGCCACGGCGAGAGACGCCGGCTTAGTTTAGGTAGACGTAGGATGGCTGTCATACATGGATTGTACTTGAGGTTATGTTAGATATGAATTGTCCTGAGGGGAAATATTAGAGATTTTGGCATTACACGTTGGACAAGTTTAGCATAGTCTAGATTTTGACCAAACATGAGGATACCCTTGGGTTGAACGTTGCGTGGCTAGTTCTTTAGAAGTTTGTTGTTGCAGTTGCGAAGAAAGCAAAGGATACGCAGTTTCCAGGCGTGGCTGGACAGTCCTACAAACCGCTGAAAGTTGTACTCATAAATGTACAGGAATCACCTTCCAAAATCATCTGAAACAATCGTGCAAATTTCACACGAAATGCAACTATCTGCACCCACAATGATTCAATGCTTGGTCCCACCCATACGCCAGACAAGCTCATGAAAGTTCCATGGGCAGCAATAGAAACAAAATCAACCATTGGGCAGCAATAGAAACAAAATCAACCATTGGAGGCACAGTAATGATGACCATACAATGACTGCTGTGCGACAGAAGAAGCCAAAAAAATACAATCTATGCGTGCTTGAGACCAACGTCCAAATTACTCCTTACTCTATATGATGTTTGATGCGGCATGTTCAACAAATTATCCATGACCCTGCCACCATGACAATCCTATGTTCCCTTGATGCCACAAACTAAACGGTACATTCATCCAACAAGGAATCACACAAGGTGTGCATCCAGCTCTCATGAACTTGGGCCAGGTGATGCTTGCCTCAGCTTGGCTTGTAGTAGCATAGCCATATCCTCTGCTATGGCTTTCTTTTTTGTAGCCACCTACACGAAGCACAGAATGTTTATCTTCATATACAGATCATTCTACTGCATTCAGGATTTAATTGCATTGCAAATAACAAATATCCAACTTCTCAATATCACCTACAAGCAATGCTTCATTAACTCAAAATATATCACGCAGATCACACTGAGCTATGTGGTATTCTGTCTCAAGGACAGGGGATAAGTCAAGTAAATGTGATTCTAGTAGAGTAGTAGTAAAATGTAATTTGTGTGGTCAATCATCACATAATAATTTATGTTGCTACTGTTTTAGAAAAACAATCCAGTTTCAGTTTCCTTTGTTTATTTCCTTGGTCAAAAGTTCTCTTAGAGTGTAAGACACAGAGACCTCTACCAGGAACTAAGTTCTTAACAAAAATGCACAAGATGGAATTACCTATTGTGACTATGGGAAGAGTAGAAAAGCCTTCAACATTTTATGGTAGCGAGTTCAGATTTATATGCAATTTTGAACCGTGGTTGAATACAATTCATAATCTATAATAGACTGAGCATCTACATGTAACATGATAAGTAACATAATAGCTTTTATATATAACACATAAAAATGATTCAAAAGCATTGCCAAATTTCTCATGGTGAGTACCATATGGACACATTGGAGGAATGACAATATGATGGCCCGTGTTAGGAACCGAAATTCCAACTGACCATCAAAGTTGGTAAAATAATTTGTTCTTAGACAACCCAGCATACTATCGGTATGTCAAGAAAAGTCAAATCAAGAATATGAGGATATAGAATGTTAGCAAAGTAGTTAGAAAATTTATAAGAATACAAGATTTACTTTGAATTTCATGTCAAAATCATTTTATAGCAAAGAAACTAGAGCTATTCATATTCATATTCAAATAATAAGTATATGATGTCCATATAATTAGTGCAGTTATCAGTAAAGAGTAACCCATGTAGTGAATACAAAACAAAGCATTTGCTCCTCCAGATGGGAAGAAATAGCAATGTATACAAGAGCAGAGCAGTCTGCAAGAACGTACCTCAGCCAGTTCATCAAAATTTGACTTCAATAAATTAATTTTCCTTTCACAGTATTCTTTCCCCTGAGCCATGGTTTTCTGCACAGCAAACAAAAGGAACAATTGAGTAGACATACTGCTTAATTACAATAGTGCATCACTTCATTAGGTTGAATAGGTTTAAAATAAAAATGACATTACACTCAGTCCAAACCATAAAAGGATACATTTTATATTTATGCTGAAGATAATTAATGATTTATCCCACCGGTGAAGCAATAACTGAGAGCATCTCCAAGGGGCTGGAAAAGGCTCCCAATCACCACCAGTTTTGGCATGTGCAGAGGTGAAAATACCGATCTCCAACAACTCCTGTTCCACGCTTGCTTTTTTTTTTCCACGCTGCACAAAATCCCTCTCCTTCTCCTCATCTATGTGTGCCCTCGGCGCTCCCAATCTGCGAACTGGCACCATGGAGCAAAAGAGATTTCATCGCTCACGCACTTTTGCTTCCCCTGCCTCTTTCCCTGGCAATCCACCATGCCCCAGCCACCCCTGGCCAGTCCTGGCTGGCTGCGGCTGCTGCTGGCCTGGCTACCATCAGCTGGCAGTGGCTGCGCCCAGCTGTGGGGTGGCCGCTGGTTGGTGGTGATTAGGGTGGGGCTGGGTGCCAGTTTTTCAACCCAACGCGTGTTTTTTCAACCCTGCGCCTGTTTTTTTATATTTATTTTTGACGAACCAATTATTGGCAACTATTAGAGAAATGCTAAAACTTTGATAGCTACTCTTTTTCGTGAGTTGGAATGATCAAGGATTTGGCAACTATTCTTTTAGCTCTTGGAGATGCTCTGAGTGAAGACATCACTGGATGCCTGCAAGGCTAGTAACCATAGCTTCTTCGTCAGAAAGGCTGACGGAAACTTAGTAACCGACCTTTTTCCTTCTTTAAGTATCAATATTCAGTTTCAACTTGATATAATGTGATGTCCATTATTCAGTCGTCGAGTACACCGAAATGCCACTGGTGTTTTTGGTACAATCAAAGAAGCTTTAGTGGTTAAAATTCCCATGAAAATCTAGAGTTTTCTAGCTGAACTAAATATCAGTCATGTATAAAACAACTACAAGAAGCCAGGTTACCTCGATGAAGTAACCGGTGCCGACATCGACGAGGACCTTCTCGGCGTCGTCCAGCGAGCCGGGCACGTAGAGGGACGCCGTGAGGGGCACGAGCATCTTCTTCCCTGCACACCCACAACCGAGGCACCGACGCCCTAGCCATCAATCGGCCGCCGGAAAGGAAGAGGAAACGAAACGACCGGCACGGGTAACCAAGGGGATCGGAGGAGGGGTACGACGATACGTGCCGTGGGGGCGGAGGGATAGGTCATGGAGCGCGGCGGAGGCGTTCTCGAGTCGAGTGGCGGCGGTGCGGATCTTGGTGAGGCTGTCCTGGAGGAGGTTGAACTCCAGATCCGTCTGCTCCTTGAGCCCCTTGAGCTGCTCCACGCTCAGCTTGTCCAGCTCGATCCGTCCAGGGCTCGCCATGGCTATCGCCTTTGCTAGCTAGGCTTGTCACGGCGGCGCCAGGGCAGGAGTGGCGGCAGGTGTAAACGCGGAGGGAGGAGTAGAGAGAGACGCGGGCGGCGGGTAGCGGGCAGTATAGAGTAGAGCAGTAAGAAACGGTGGTAAATAAATAAATAAACTTAGTGAAACATCTTTGCAACAACGGCCCCTATAGCTCAGTGGTAGAGCGTCAGTCTTGTAAACTGAAGGTCTGTAGTTCGATCCTGCATGGGGGCAAATGTTTTTATTTTCAGTTTTTTGTCTTATTTTGGTCTTCTTTTCAGTTTTCATCAGATTCCAAAAATCACAACTTCCTAGCTATTTAATTATTTTTAATATTCCTTTTCTCTCCAGACACTCACGGTATTGTTTTTCGGCCACTGGTTCAATTATTTTTTATTTTCTGTTTTCAGATTTTAACCGTTTCGTTTTATTTTGGTCTTCTTTTTAGCAAAAAGAAAAAAAAATCAAAATCGCCATTTAATATTTTTTAGTATCCTTTTTTCTCTAGACACACGGTATTGTTTTTCGGCCGGATTCAAAAGTTGATTAAGCTTAAGCAATGTAGACTGCGATAAATAATGAAGGGGACACAAACAATGATATTATGTGAATGGAGCGACTAGCGCACGGATGTTCCGTAGGAGGCCTGTGTCTGCACCCGACTCCCCATGCCCTGCGCCTGCCCATTCCGCACGCCCCACCCACTCGGATTCTACGCCGCTCGAATGACTCGCTTCACCCACGTCATCCGTCCCCACGTGGGCCAACATCGTCATTCGTGAAAGCTTTAGTTTGGTTTTGGTGAATTGATGAAACCCTAAGTGCTAATCTATTGCTCTAAGTAATTATGAGATATGGTAGCACATTCCAAGTGGTAGAGCAAATGGAGAAGATCATGAAGGTAGTGATGGTCATGGAGATCAAGTGCTCGAGTTTGGAAAAGAAGAAAGAGAAAAACAAAAAACTCAAGGCAAATGTGATATTCATAGGAGCTCTTTGTTTTGGTGATCAAGACACTTAGCGAGTGTGATCATATTTAGAATAGATAGCCGTACTATTAAGAGGATGAAACTCATCGTTAAATGCGGTTATCAAAGTGCCACTAGATGTTCTAACTCATTACATATACATTTAGATTCTAATGAATACTAACATCCTTGAAAATATTTGTGAAAATATGCTAACACACGTGCACAAGGTGATACACTTGGTGGTTGGTATATTTAAGCAAGGGTGGAGAAGTTTGTGTAGTCAAGGAGGTCACTGCTGTGACCGGACGTAGGACCTGACCCTGAACCTGTGCGTCCGGTCAGCTCTACAGTGAAGAACGTGGCGTCGGTCTATGACCGGACACTGGCTCAAGGACATGACCGGACTCGATCGTGGTGCGTCCGGTCAGATAATGACGTATGCTGACGCAAGCACTGAGAAGAGGAAGAAAGGAGCGGACGCTGGCGTTGGGCGATCACCGTTGACCGGACACGTTAGGTCGCGAAAAAAGCGCTTGGGGAGCTCTCTGGAACTGACCGGATGCCACGTTGGTGGCGCGTCCGGTCAGACCTCAAAGCGTTAGGTCGGTGGCTTCGCTGCTCGGTCAGGCGCGCGATCGGACGCAATGTTGGCGCGTCAGGTCGTCGTGGTTGTGCGTCTGGTCATCACTAAAGCATCTGCATGGCCAAATATGACCATTGGGATCGCACGGTCGTGGTTTAAACGCGGGAGACGTGGATGGTGATCCATGATCGGATCTTAGGGGGCGCGTCCGGTTATACCGACCGGCGTGTCCGGACGTCTCAAAACTAGTGAGGAAAAAGGGGCCAATGGCTCTTTTCGAAGGGGCTCCCTATTTAAGCGTGTTGGCCAGCTCTTGCTCACTCTCTTGGCCATTTTCATTGACATAGCAACTTAGTGAGCTAAGCCAAAGCCCTCCCACTCATCTTTATCATTGACTCGTCATCTTTGTGATATTGGGAGTAAATCCAAGTGCATTGCTTGAGTGTTTGCTTCTAAAGGCACTTGGTGATTGTGTTTTATTGTTTTTCTCTTGGTGGTTGCCACCACCTAGATGGCTTGGTTCAATGAGGATTGTCGAGTAGAGGGTGGTGATTTTCTTCGGCTCTGGTTGTGGTGATTGTGAGGGGTTCTTGACCTTTCTCCGACGAATAGCCAAAAGGTACTCCCTAGACGATTCTACCCGAATCGCCCGAGGGCTCGAGGGCTACACCCATGGGTGCGCTCGCGCGCACCCACTGTCAAAACAAAAAATCTCCCAGATGATTCTACCCAAATCGTTTGGGGGCTTAGGGGCTCCTATCGGGTTCATAAACCTAGGGTCCCTAATGGACTTGCTTCCCAGCAAAAGCTCGGCCCAGCAGACGACATTGCGAACAACGCGCAACTCCCGGCCCGACCCGGATACCTAACGATAGGCTAGAAAGATGATCTAGTCTCCAACCGGAAGGCCTAGCCAAGGAGGGACTACGCTCGCTTTCGACTCTGACCGCCTCTCCGACCGGAAGGCCTGGCCAAGGAGAGACGACGCTGGATTCCGACTCCGACCCGCCTCTCCAACCGGAAGGCCTAGCCAAGGAGGGACGATGCTTGCTTCTGACTCCGACCCGCCTCTCCGATTGGAAGGCCTGGCCAAGGAGGGACGACGCTCGCTTCCGACTCCGACCCGCCTCTCCGACAGGAAGGCCTGGCCAAGGAGGGACGGCGCTCGCTTCCGACTCCGACTTGCCTCTCCGACCAGAAGGCCTAACCAAGGAGGGACGACGCTCGCTTCCGACTCCGACCCAATCCATAGCTCTTTATAGCTCTTCTCCAATCGGTGCGGTCGGAGATGACTGGGAAATGACCGAACGAGGACGCCCGCTCGGTAAGGACCCAAAGAATCAGGCGGAGCAAATAAGGCAGGGCTCTCAAGTCAAACATAATATCGAGGACCGTACCCTGCACACCTGCAGGACAATACTGTCAGGACATGTTAGAAGGGAGCTCTGCAACCTTCTAGACATGTCAGAACATGAACAGTGTTGTGGGCGCCAACATTTGTCCTACAGTATGGTAGGCTCCGACATTGGCCAGGGTAGAAGAACACGATGGAGCCTACCACATGCATCTGGGTATCAACAGTATTGTGGGCGCCGACAAACCACCTTGTACCCGACGGCATGGGCAACAAGACTAGGTAGCACACACTCTCTTTCTCTCTCTCTCTCTTGTAAAGTCGTCCCCTTCGTCTATAAAAGGGGATGCACTCTCTCCAAAAGGATGATGATTCAGACAATTGATTCCGATTCTCTCTGCTTGGCTCTAGAACTCTAAAGCCAGATAGAGCACATGTTCAAACACTTAGCACACATTGAAGCTCCCGTCACTATCGGCCCTTCGATCCGAAGTCCGACTGGACCTCTAATACCCTACATCTTACTCCCTCTCATTTGTAACCCCACAACAAACTTCGAACACCTAGGCTTAGGAATAAAGTCACCGGCTGACTCAAACTGGACATAGGGCACATTGCCTAAACCAGTATAAACCCTATGTCATTGAGTGCTAGGCCACATCCGATCACAACGTATGGCAAAACGACAAATATTTACTAGTTGGTCTTTTCGCACCGATAGTTGGCGCCGTCCGTGGGGAAGACACCGTACGTTCACGCTTTTGGTCATCGGATGGCCCACCTTTCCACCATCTTTGGCATGGCGGGCTCAAGCAATACGACTCGCTTTGGCTCGCTGGAGTTTCCTATGCCCCACCTATTGGGATGTGGGTTCCTCCCGTCTTTGAGCCGTCCTAGACCTTCCTCTTCGGAAGCCTGGACTTCATCGCCGACCAGCTCGGCGTGCTTCACCTCAGCGAGGAGGCACTTGTCCTGGCCCCCGTCGGAGGAGGAGCGCCCTGCGTTGGCTCTAGGACACCCGGTGACTTCAACAACGAGGCGCCTGCGCTTCACTCCGAGCCTACGCTAGGCTCAAACCCCGCTATGAGTAACGTACATATTGTTCTTTACTCGCTATTACATATCTTCCGCCGACTCTCCAGAGGGACCCCGTTGTCCTCACCGTGACCATCATGTAACCGGTTCCCCTATGGCCTCATGTCCCCCATGGATGTGTACGCATGGGGGCTTCGAAGGATGCTGGCACCGCCCCCTCTCACATCCGAATTCGTAGGGATGGTGAGCTATGCTCCTGCCTCTTTCCATGACCTCATGGATGATGAGGTTGAGAGCAATGGCTATAGCATCGGTGACGTCATGGCACCTAGCCACCCTCTGTCCTGGGAGTGCGCTATGGTAGATGCTCTGGGATAGCCACAGGTGGTAGCGGAGTCTCTACAGACCCACACCCCTCCGGCCCCTCACGTAGAGGCCCTCGCATGTGCATAGGAGCACGGTGAGGAGCTATGACAAAGGCGGCAGAACCAGCCACCACCTACACTGGCGCGCTCGGCGCAGCACACTATGCCATGCACGCGTAACCCGGCAGCGGCGCCTGGGGTCGCGCCCGTCAGGTCTAGTGCAACATCATGGACGGGGGGAATGATCCCCCACAGTTCACTCGAGCTGGCCAGAACATCACCGCCGCGGCGATGCTCCTGCGTGGCCTTCTAGAGCCTATCGACCCCCAGGAGTAGGCGATCCATCAAAACCTCTGGGTGCTGGTGGAAACCGCCGCCGTTCAACAGGCGGAGAGCTCCGCGTCACGACACCGACTCATGGCCTCTCTCCCCACCAGGGGAATAGGGATGCACCAGACGAATCACTCCATCCGCTCACTACTATAGTCATCGGGCATAGAACAGGAGGCCGTAGCTACACCACGGCCTGACCTGGCGCCTGCTCCACACCGACCCCCTATGCGCGAGCGGCTCGGGCCGAACCGAGACACTCGTAGCATTATCAACAACCGGCATCAAGCCCGGCATGATGATGACGTCCATCGAGGGGCAGTGAGAGCAGGCGACATGGG